GTTGGGATGCGGGAACTGGTGCTGAGAGGGGGACAGGAGGCCTGTTGACACGTTCAGACGCAACTCCAGCAGAGGCGCTGGGACTGGCAGGGGGCCAGGCCTGAGTCACAGCTGCTGGGTGTATCAACGTGGCATTGTGCAGAGGCAGGAGAGGCCTGCGGCCAGAGGCCAGGGTGCTGGGGTCCTGGACAACAGGCAGCGGGCAGAATGACCAACCGCTCCCTCCAGGTCCCATGCCAAACTCCACTTTCCTTCTTCCTGGCCTGTTTCTCCAGAAATTATTCCTGTGTTGTCATAAAAATGCAGGGCTGAGGCCTGGGAACAGACCAAAAGAAGTGGGGGCATGGAGGGGAGACGGAAGGCCTGGGAAGAGGTAGGATGTCCTGGGGGTGGGAGGGAGGGAGGCTACTGGCCATAAGGTGGGACATTTAGGGGATCCCTACAAGAAGGTGACTTAGCAGTCCCTTCTTAGGACGTATTAACCCTCCGCCTGGTGGCTCATGGTTATTAACCCTGACAACAGCGGGAAGGGGGTGGGAGCCGCACCCCAAGATGAAGAGAGGAAGTGGGGGGAGGGCCGAGGAGTTCTGGTACCACTGCATTCCAACTCCAGCCTGGGAAGATGCAATGCTCTCTCCCAGCCAGCAGAGGGTGGAAGCGTTGGAGCTTCAGGAGGAGGAAGGGGGTGCCTTGGCAATCCCAAACAGCCCCCTCTCAACTGCCCAGGTCTGGGACCCTTGAAATTAAGGGTCTCTAACTCCCCTGAGCCAGTCCCTAAAGGGACTCCTGTGTTCTGCTCCCCTCCATCTGTCCCTCATGTGATTCAGGCCCTCATCCCTCTTGCTGCCACTCAACAAGAACACCCATCCTAGTTTTCAATAAAAGGCCATCCCTCTGCCTTTTCTTCTCTGACTGGACAAGTTCAGGGTCTCCCGTCCACTCTCTACTCTGCCCTCTACCGTGACTCAGCTCGTCTGCTGGGCCTGGGATTCCAGCCAGAATTATTCCTGGTTTCGACAGGCAGGATTCAAGCTTCCTCTCCCACAAACGGGCAGGGGGAGCTCCTGTCCCCCCACCCTGCCCCACCTCCTTGCCAAACTGTCCCCTTCCTTGAGAGATTGTTAAGGGCCAAGACTTCCTCACAGCCCAGCCTCAGGTTGCGGGTGCAGGAAGGATAGAAGGGGGGCAGTTCAAGGTCACCCCTGCACCTCCCTCTTATTCCGGGTTCATGCTGTCTAATCCTGGCCAGCACTAAGGTAACAGTCCTGCCTGCCCCAGAGCCTCCCTTCTTCCCCAACACAGATCCATGGGACTCTCCCTCTTCTGCATGATACAGCCTACATGACATGTCCTGAAGGGAGCCGCATTAAAAACGTAGTGTCCTTTTCTACTAGCAGTAAAAACAAAGCATAAGCCAAGGATATGATGCCATAATAGTTAACCGTTTCTCACAAACTTTCTCTGAGAAAGAGAGGAGGGTGTTAGTACTTTTAATTCCAAGCTTGTGGGAAATATTTCTATTGTGAATAGCATTGGTTATTAATTATATTCGATTTTCATACTTATAGCGTGGTATTTTAGAGGACTGTTTTCTCACTTTGTGGGTCATTGTACTACTCTGGAACCAGAGGGATCTCTGGAGACCTTCTGCCCTAACCCCTTTCTTCTATAGCTAGGGAAATCCAGAGATGGGGGGTGATTTGCTCAAGGTCACACAGCAATTTAGTGGCAGGGCCAAGCCTAGAACTAAGGACACCAAGGGCCAGGGCTGTTTCCGCTACCTCCTGCTACCTGTCATTTTGTTGGTGGACCACCTTGCCTCTTGTTAAGCAGTAGGAGATGCTGCAACCTTCCCCAAAGAACCTCTTTCCTGCTATCTCCAAGAATATTCGAGCTTGGCCTGTGTCATCTTCAGTACACAGGGTGGGGCTCAGGGAGGTGAGAATGGAATGAAGTGCCCTGGGCCTCTGAGCCAGACCTGGTCTTGCCTGCTGCAGCTGCTAGAGGTGGTCAGGGGCTGGGGAGGAGGGAGGCAAGGGAGGGGGAGCAGAGGGCACAGTTGGTAGGTAAAGGCATCTCCTACCAGTTGTCCCCACAGCTGTCCCTGCCTTCAGCCCTGACACTGAGCTACTGAATCACTGGGGGTGGGACTGGGAGTGGGGACAATGGGCACATCCCATGCAAGAGTAAGTCTCAGATTCCTGGAGGCCAGGGGATGTGCGGGCCGGGGGCATCAATCGTGGAAAGGCAATCAGGGGCCCTGGCAGGAATTACTGTCTTTCTTATTTCTCTTGAGCTCCTTAAGTACTTACTGCTCAGCCCCCAGGGTTAGCTGTACCTTCTTCTTTCCGTTTGAATAAGAATGTGGACTTCAGGGTGTGGGGTGGGGGAAGAGATGACACCAGGAGCTCCCTCAGGTGAGGACTGGGGCCCAGGTACCCTGGAAGGCCTCCATCCCTGTTATCCTTATGTATCTGCCAAAGGGCACGGCCTCCTGCAGATCCAGGTAGACAATTCCCATGACAAGTCCCAAGACAGTCTCAAGGCAGGAATCACCAGCCTCCCTGAGCTCTGTCTCATGATCCATGGCCTGGCAGGGTCCTGGGTCTTTCCAGGTATGGGATGTAGCAAAGGCTATTGATCAAGTGTTAACAGGCCCTGCGGAACAGCAGAGCATTAAGACTACACTGGTCCCAGGGCCGAATCTCCAGACTGCAGGAGTGCGCCTCAGTCACCCCAACCCGCCTTCCAGATCCTCCAGCCTGTCCCCTAAGCTAGAGAAGTACGGTTTAATGGTACGAGCACATAACTAAGAAGCAGAAGGCCTGTGCTCAAGTCCTGACCCGTCACTCCCCTACTGTGTGACATGGCACAAGCCTCTACACCTCTCTGGCTTTTGCTTTTCTTATCCTGATGAGAGCTTGGATGAACCTGGGCCTGGCAGGTCCCTGCCTGTCGCAACCAGGGCCGCAAAAGGTGGGCAATTCAGGAAGTCGTTGAGCACCCAGGCCTTGTCTGGGGAGGAAGAGACGCTTCTGCTTTGTGGGGCTGGGATCTCCCCACTTCTGACTCAGCCTTCCTCCACCAGTTCCGCATGGGAAGACATAGACCCTGGCACCATCCCGCAGCCCAAGCCCATAACTCTAGACCTCAACTCTAGAACTACTTGTGCATACTGCCTGTCAGGAGTCCCGGTTCCAGACCACCACCAGAACCTTAGGAAGGAGGTAGAAAAGGACCCCAGGATGCAGTGGGGAGCGGGGAGCAGAAGATGCAGACATTCAGGCCCCCATCCCTCCCTTTAAGACATCTGCTGTCTCCACCCTGTCTCTTGTAAAGCCACAAGGGTGGGAGAGAGGAGGGCAGCATCTGAGTCATCCACCCAGCTGTCCTGCTTGGGGTGGGGCCTAGTTCCCAGCCTGGACCCCAGGCAGGCCTTCCCTGATGCTCTTAACCTCCTCATTCTTCCCACACTTAGGTGTCCAAATCCCTGGGGCTCCAGAGTTGACAGGATGTGTGTATGTGTTTGTGGGTGGGGGTAGTGTTTCTGCTTGCAGCCTGTAACCCAGCCTGATGAGAGGGTGCCCTAAACCCCTGGGTGTGGTCAAGATACCCAGGCTGGGCCAGGAATCCCCACAAGATCTTACAGACAGCTCTGCATCCCAACCCAAAGCCTGGCCCTGAACTCTGAGCTCTAACTAAACATTAAACCAGGCAACACCTTCTCCCTAGGCTTTAGTGGGAGGAGTTAGGGCAATGCCTTTCTTGCTCTCCCAAATTCTTCATTCTACTCCACACCTCACCCTGAGCACAGCAGACGCAAAAGGGAGCAACAAATCCTTGCTCCTCCCACTGGGGACATAGAACAGGACAGAAACCCCAACCTGAGCCCTCTTTGTCTCCACCCTGCCTCCCATCAGCCTAGGATCCAGGTGTGCAAACCCGCCCCCCCTTTTCCGGAAGTCCAGCCTCCCCAGCCAGGATGAGTGGGGGAGAGGAGAGGCAGGTGGCTAAATATAACAAGTACACACACCACCCCCGGCCCTGCCCCACATGCGTGCACACCCGCCTGGTGTCCCAGGCCCGACAGCTGCACCAGGAGGCAGAGGAGACAGACTGGCGTGGCTGGGTTAGTGAGAGACCATAGACTCCACTTGTTCTGTTCCCTGATCAATGCCTTCCCCAGAAAAAGATCTGCTAACAATGCCCTTCACAGGGATCTGCAAGGTAGTAGTTTGGTAGTTGCGTGGACTAGTTTAGAACACTAATTCTCTGGGACTCCCCTTAGCTTGCCTCCTGTCTGTCCTGCTAACTAAGTTACTCCTATCACTAGTGGACAATGACAGGAGTGATCCCTTTCAACAGAAATAAAGTCACCCTGAGTTCCCTGGTGGCCTTGTGGTTAGGATTCTGGGCTTTCACTGCCATGGCCCGGGTTCGATCCCTGGTCTGGCCAGAGAACTGAGATCCCCACAAGCCACAGCCAGAGTGGGGGGCGGCAGGCAAGTCACCCTGCCTCTCCACACAATTTCAATTTCCATCTAATCTTCACAAGGGGATGATGGATCTGCCACACCCACCATGCCTGGGGCTAGGGGCTCACGAAGGGGTATAAAGAGCACAGAATACACAGAGGTTCTGAGAAGAGCATGAGTCTGGAGAAGATGATGCCAAGGAAAAGAAGGAAAGTCAAACCATACCCCACCCCAACCAGGGATCTCCAAGCACCTTTAGTGCTCTTTGGCTGAGGTCTTCATAGAAAACAAATTCTTGGGGAGCTGAAGATGGCCTAAACTTCCCAGCTCCAAAGGCCTTTTTAGAAAAGAGGGAGGAGCCAAGTAGGGTGCGGTAGAGTGGGGCAGGGATGGGTAAGGTAGGAGTGGCCTGAAGCTTCCAACGGCTGGATTTCAAAAATGTCACTATATTCTGGTAGTTGAACAAGGCAAAGAACAACAACAAAAAGTCAGCGGCTGCGAGGACTGGGCCAGAGCAAAGGCTGCTCAGCTTGGCTGGGAAAATGAAAGCGGCTCACCCCAAGGAGAGAGGCAGGGAGCAACAAGCCCCCAACCCTCGAAGACTCCAGGCAGAGGGTGAGGGTGGGATGGGGGAAGGTGGGGAAGGGGGGAGGCAGACCTGGGCATAGCACAACTTCCTGAGCTGGGAGCCTCTGCCCTCTGTCTCCCTCCCTCCCTTGCATTCCTGGGCCAAGCAGGCCAAGGGCTGTGAGAGCTGTGGGGAAGCCGCTCTCCTGGAGCTCTTTGGTGGGCCTGTCAGAGTCCAGGGAAGGTCTCAGACAGGTAGGGAGTGAAGGAGAGCTTCCCAACTCTTAGAGAGAACCCGGGTAAGGGTCGTGCTGAGGGGGCCATCACCATGCCCCTGCAGGGGAAAAAGGGGGTCACCCTGCTTTGGTGACCTCTCTCAAGCACCACTGGACATCTGCCAGCTTGCGAGCTCTGTCTTAGTGGGTGTCATGTGTTCAGAGCCAGGCTGGGCAAAGTTGGCACAGTGCCAAGCCTGCCAAGAAAGTTCTAACAGGAGCCTTTTACCCACTCCAAAGTGTCCTGGGTGCCCAGATTTCTTAGACCTGACGGAGCCAGTTCCGCTTTGCCCAAGACTCTCCCCCAGGCCCCAAATGACTGGCAAATCCCACCCTGACAGAATGTGGACCTGCCACCAGCCCCTACTTGGCCCTGCTGCCCGCGCCGTTACCTTATATATTCCACCCTCTCCCAGAGACCCCTCCCTTCTCTGTCCTGTCTTGACAATTTCCCTTGGCACTGCCAGTCACCCGCTGGGGGCGGTTCCGGTGAGGGAGGAGACTATAACGCAAAGTTATCAGCCGTCTGGAGCTCGGCAAGGGCGACAGTCCGCTCGCCCTCTCTGCGCCTCTCCCGGCCCCACGCCGCCACCTGGGCGCACTCACCGTGCCTTGAGGTCCTTGAACTCCTCGCGCACTTTGCTCAGCTCCAGCTGCAGGCGGGCGCGCTCCTTGGCCACCGAGTCGAGGGTCTTGCGGGCATCCCCGAGCTCTGCCTCGTAGGCGGCCTTGATGCCGGACACCTCGCGGCTGACCACCTCCTCGGACTCGGTGATGCGAAGGCGCAGACCTGCGTTCTCCGTCTCCAGCGAGCGCACACGGTCGATGTAGACCGCCAAGCGGTCATTGAGCTCCTGCAGGTCCTCCTTCTCCTGCAGCCGGGTGATGCGGGTGGGCGACAGCGGAGTGGAGCTGCCCTGCGCCCCACCGCGGGTGGCGCGCCGCTGGGACGGGGTCTCCATGGCCGGCAGGGTGGCAACGCTGCCCGCGGGGCAGAGGTCCCGGTAAGGGCAAGCGGCTCTGGCCGAAGGACAGAGACTGCTCGGGGTGGGAGCTCGCCGGCCGGCTGGCTGGCTCTCGTCTGGCTCCTGGCAGGCGTGGGGATCTGGGCCGGGCGCTGTCGGACCTCGGGATCTGGGTTGGCCGGTATGGATGCGGCGCTCCCGCGAACACTCTGAGTCACCGGCGCCCGAGCAAAGGCTCTAATAGGTCTAGGGAATTGGAGGAGGGGCCACTGCTCTTAAAGGGGCCGTCGCATACCCACGGGGGGTTGGGGGGGCGGGAGGGGTGAGGAGGGGAGAGGACCACCCGGCGGTGGTGGCGGAGTAGGGCTCCACCCTCTCTCGCGCACCCCCCGCGTGCCCGAGGCTTAGCTGAAGCTCGCGTCTAGGTCCCTGCCTGCTCAGCGCTCCAAGCTGCAAGCTTGCCCCCACTGCCTCAGGCCTTTGGGGGTAGAGGGCAGAGCCAAGGGGTGAGGGTGGGTGGGCAAAGGGCGGGGGAGAGAGGGAAAGTGGGTGTAAAGCAAGGAAGGGTGCCAGGCAGGCAGATAAAGTAGGGGGAGGGCTAAGGCTGGTGCCCATCAGGGTGACTCACTCTTCTTCCACCACTGGCTCCCCCTTTCCTCCCCATAGTGATAGTGAGTCACCCCTACCCCGCCCGCCCCCCTACATGTGGGCAGTCCATTCAAAGTTGCATCTCAGGATGCCAGGGTGAGGTGGGGAAGAATGCCTGGGTTCCCTGGGGTGGTTGGAGGGAGGGCTGCAGCAAAGTTCTGGATTCTGAGTGCCTTTTACACCCTCAAACTTGGGGTGGGGACCAGGAGTTTGGAGTTGCTCTTTTCCTATCTTCTGCCCCAATTTAACCTGCCTTCAAAACCAACCATTGGGTCTTAGACCCAAGGAACAAGCCACAGGCCCCAGAGAAGGCCAAGAATTGGACCCAGGCACTGCCCATCTCCTGCCCCTTTCCTTTGGATTCAAGCAATTGGAAAAAAAGCCTGCCTTGGGTTCCTCCCCCTTCAGTCCCTTTCTACTCCTCACCCCACCCCACCAACTCCAGGACTGTACTTATTTTTTTTTCCAGGACTGTACTTATTTTAATGGATAATTTAAAACAGATACCAGAGCTGTGCATGCATTCATCACATTGCCAGGACACCAGGTCCCAGATTTTTGTGGTTCCCAGAGGGACCTGAAAGGGGGAGCAGGGCTGGGGGCTGGACAGCCAATGTTGGGTCTCTATCCCGGTTTCAGCCAGAGAAGGGGTGGTGGGAGGTAGGGACAGCAAAGACTCCCACAACCTTGCTGGCTGCAGGGCCAGCACTGCACTTATCTCTACACTCCTCTCTGGCCAGGTCTGCTTTGCCACTGGCTCTGGGGAGGGGCCAGGCCTTCTCACAAAACAGGATCACCCAAGTCCCCAGGCTTCCCCACCCCAGGCTCTGGGGCTTCCATTCCCCAGGACTCACCAAAGACCCCTTTAATCAGCCTTCTACTCCCCTCCCCTTATCCTGGCCCTGGCCCCACCAACCATCTCATCCTAAGAGGTGGCGGTGGCTGAGGCTCCAGAACCCATGTGCTTTCCTGCCCTGCCCCTGTGGCCTCCACAGCTTATTCTCTGATGAGCAACGGGGGAAATTAAATTATGTTGCTGACTCCTACAGCTCCAGGATATCAGGATGCGCAAGAGAAACAGAGCTGGACAGGTCCTCTGTTCTGGGTTCTGGAGCTGGCTTCAGAGGGACAAGGGGCTGGAGTGGGATTAAGGCAGGGACTCTTGAGTATTCAGGGAGAGGAACCGGGAAGGGGATGCTTAGGTTCCCATCTCTAGGGGGGTGACTGGCAGTGTGGTGAGTATCCAGGATGCACCCAGTTAAGGGACTCAGGACATGGCTTCCCCTCCTTGCAGCCCTCTCCCCCAGGGCATGGCACTCACCTTCAGCTTCCCAGACAAAACAAAAAGCCTTGTTCTGTTTCTCCCTCTTGTGCTCTCCAAACCAAAGGCAGAGGTGGGGTGGGTGTGCCAATGAAACGTGCGGGACACTGGCTGTTCCCACTGCCTTAGCCCCCACTCCACTGAGCGTCGTCCCCCCCGCCCCCCAGTCCCTGCCTGGCCTGGCTTCCCCTCCTGGCTGGGGAAGCAAAACCACACTTAACCCTTCCTAGCCCAGACCTCCCCATCTTTGGAGAAAAGAGGCAGGAGAAAGAAGAGGGGGAACTAACCCTAAATTTCACTCTAGGTCCTTTCCAAAGGGTCCCCCCACCTTACCACCACCACAGTGGCCTCAATCCTAAACGTGAACTTCGAAGGGACTTTATGTTGAATATTCAGTCCTAACTCTGAATCCCAAGTGTCATCCTCTGCTCTCTTGCTGCCAGGCGTAGATCACCAGTCCCAGAAGAAGCAGGAGAAAGCCGGGAAGGCCAGATCACCAGTCCCAGAAGAAGCAGGAGAAAGCCGGGAAGGCCAGGTCCAGAGGAGCGGAGCCTGCTGGGGGTGAGGGCTGGGGGGAGTTGACGTGACTGGGTGGAGACCAGGTTCCAATCTTATCTCCCACTTGCTATGTGATGACAGGTCTGCTACTGAATTCTCTGGGCCTCAGTTTCCCTCATCTGTAACATGGGTAGTGTGGCTACCAGAGACATGGGGGTTGAGCTACTATGTTTGCTCTCAAGGGAGTTGCCCACTTGTAGGGAAAACAGAGGGAAAGGCAAAACCAAGCACAAGTGGTTAAAGAGCAGCATAGAACCCTTAACTGGATAATGAATTCCAAATGGATCCCAGAAGCTGGGAGCTGGAACGTTAATAAGTGATATCAGAATATAGTTGTTGAGTCCAAGGGGTGGTTTGGGCAGTGGAGGGGCACTTGTCTTGAAGACCAATGACCTTGGAGGGGGACCCTCCTCTGGTCCCATAGCATCCTGGGCCTTCCTCTGACCCTGCCTCCCAAAAGTGCTGTGAGGGACAGGAGGGACCAAATCTTGGCCATCTGTGTCCCTAACATTTGGCCCAGAGCCTGGCATACAGGAGGTGTTCAGTGTTTCTTAAATGAACAAGTGCATCTGGTCCTGCCACTTTTTCAGGTGACTGACTTTGGGCAAGTTATTTCTTTTCTTTCAGCCTCAGTTTCCCCATTGCAGCATGGGGATGCTGCAATGATTAAGTAACATGCATTTAAAGGGAGGCTCCTTGGAGGAGGTAGATTTTGGGCTTTACAGAAGTGCCTTATACATAGATAGTGAATTCACTCATCCAACAAACATTTATTGAACACCTACTGTGTGCCAGGCACTGAGCTAGACACTGGGAGACAGCAGTGAATAAAACAGACAAAAATCCCTACCCTCATGGAGCTGACATCCTAGTGGGGGGAGATGGTCCATAAATAAAAGACAAAATTATAGTTTGTTAGAAGGTGGTTAAGTGCTATGAAAATAAAATATAAAGTGGGATAATGCTCAACCCACTGGGTAACTTACACTTTGACGCTCTTTATAGTTGCGTGTTTTCACATACATTCTCAATTTCGTTCCACAAAACCACCTTATGGGCTGGAGATTATTTCCCTGTTTCACAGCTGAGGCTGACTTTCCCAAAACTAAACAGTAATAGGCCGAGCTCAGAACTTGGACAAGGCAGCCAGGTCCAGGACTTCACTATCTTAGGCCACTTTGGCAGGACTGTGGGAGGAGCAGGGGTGGACTGGCGCAGGGAGGAAGTCCATGTAGAGGTGCTGAAGCGGGAAAGAGCTGAGGAGGGTGCACAGCTGAGCTGAGCAGGGAGACACTAGAGGCGAGGCAGGAAAGTGTGGGAGGAAAGTCAGGACCAGGACCAGAGAAGGGGGAGATGGAGGCAGCCGCCTGGTTCAGGGATGGGGCCTGCAAGAGAGGATTTTTGCTGCTTGATAAGCCTGGGGTCAAGAAGGAGAGAGGGGGACTTCCCTGGAGGTACAGTGGTTAAGACTCCACACTTCCAATGCAGGTGGCCCAGTTTCGATCCCTGATCAAGGAACTAGGTCCTGCATGCCGCAACTAAAAGAGCCCGCATGCCGCAACTAAAGATCCTCCACGCAGCAACGAAGATCCCACGTGCCGCAACTATGACCCGGCACAGCCAAATAAATAAATAATTTTTTTTTTTTTAAGTCTTCAGATAGTGCCGATGTCTCTTGTGGGGCAAAATCACCTCCAGTTGAGAACCACTTATCTAAGGTCATATGGTAAGTAGCAGAACTGGGATTGTAATACAGGTGGACCTGACTCTGAAAGCCAAGCACTTACCCACCAGGTTATAATCCTGGACAGGTAGGAGTGAGAGAGAGGAGGATTCAAATGGGTCCTAGGCCACTGGGGAGACAGTTATATTCCCCCATAGGGGAGGGAAGAGGTAACTCTTTGGAGGAGGGTCTAGGGAGTGGGGGCTGATTTGGAGAGTCAAGGCCATGGTTTGAGGATCCCTTTATAGTGAGTTCTTGAGGGAGGGTCCCTGTCTTATTCATTCTTTGATCACAGGGTCTGGTACTAAACACCTGTTGAACTGCTGAGTCACTTGTGCACAGGTGATTATTATAACCTTGAGAGTGGAAGGACTTGCCTGTTCTTTAAGTGGCTGCCATGTACCAGGCACTGGGCTAGGGGCTGTGTGTGGGTGATCCCACTTAATCTTCACCTTAGCCTTATGAGGGAGGTATTATTATCTGCATTTTATCAATATATACCAAAACCCCAAAACTCCGAGAGGTTGACTAATTGACCTAAGGTAGCCCAGCTGACTAGACTGCCTTCTTCCTACCCAGACTCAGCTAGATGGAATGATGCAGGTTCAGGGCAATTAGCTTAGCTTAGTTCAGCCAGGAAGGCCCTTAGAAGGGGAGCATGTGTTTGACAGCCGTTTGGAAAGACAGAGAACCCCTCATTCGAATGAAATCTCACCCCAAAAGCCCAAGATACTAAATGACAGAGGCAGAGCCTCTCTAGTAGGGAGATTTGGGGACTCCTGCCTGATGATCCCTTGCGCCTCTCCCGAGAGGCCCCCAGGGCTCTGGGGAATAAGCCCCTCTCTTTACAAGTGGCTTCTAAGGCCAGAGGAGGAAAGATTTGCCCAAGGTCACTCAGAACCCCCAAAATAGCACTCTGACCCCAACGCATGCTATCACAGGAGACAGGACAGCACCCCGGACCTATCTGAGGGGCTAATCCACCTCAAGAGACCGGCATGAACGTCACTGTGACGTAGGGGTGCTGGCTGCTGAGCCAGAGCGCGGTTCTTTTCCTTCAGGGCTCCGGCCTGGCCAGAAGGGGCTGCAGGATAATGGACAGAGAACTAACCCTTTACACCTCATACGTGGCTGGGCAGGCCTCCCAGGTGTGATCCTTTCACAATTAAGATTACTACCCTAACCCTCGCCAACCTCTTAGAGATGCAAAAAGCAAACACCACTACCCCCATGGTTGAGGCTTGGGCAGGTTAACTGATTTGCTCAAGGCCACACAGCAGACAGGTGTCAGAAGCAGGCCCCAAACCTCAGGTGTCTGCCTCCAGGTTGACCACATCCCACCTCTCTTCAGCCCAGGCCCCGAGGAGACCAATCCAACAGCAAAATCCGGAGAGTCTGCTGGGGAGGTCCTGCCCAACATTCCAAACCCCATCCCCCTCCCAACTGGGCCAAGAGAGCCGCCCCACCTTGTGAGCCTCAGGTTTCCGGAACTGTCACAGTACACACCACAGCACACAATACTGCCACAGTACACACCAGATTAGGGCGCAAAGAGGAATTCGGCAGTGACATCTTCCTCTCTCCTCTCCATCCCCCAGCTATGGCCCCTCCCCACCTGGTGAGGGTGGGGGAGGGGAGGTAGAAGGGGCGGGGCACCGGAGACATGGGTGGAGCCATGTGGAGCGGCAGATCAGTTGGGGCGGTAGTGTGACTCGGGCTCCGACTGGGTTGTTCTTCCCTCCCCGCCCCGCCCCGGCCCGGAGGCGGGCAGTGCTGACGGCTAGTGCTGACGCAGGCGCCTGTGTGTGGGCGGCTGCCTGTGAGTCTGTGTGTCTCTGTGTGTGTGTGTGTGTGGTTGCTGGGGCCTCCCGGGTCTCCTAAATGGGGGTTTCCTCTCCCTGTTGCCAAGGAAACAAACAGAAGCTCCACAACTCCAGGACTGGGGCTGGAGAAAAGGGTCCGCAAGCCCTGCACACCCGTACACTTGCAGAAAGTGAAGTAGAAAAGGATTCCCCGTCCGCCTCCCCTCATCCACGTAGGGACCAAACGTTAACAAATGTGGGGCCTGAAACTGGAGTGGCCACCCATCCTGTTTGCAGAGCACTGAGGAGTTTCCTAAGACAAGGGGCAAGGGACTTGCGGTGCTCAAACCGGGACAATTCCTGGCAAACCAGACAATCGGTCTCCCTAAGTGTTCATCCAATTTTTGTGAGGAGGCTTTATTTTTAAAATATTAGAATATCTTTTACAGATTTTACACAGAAATATGACCACGTGCAAACATGGGCAGACTCCTCTGAGAGTCCTGGAAAGGCCGGGAAGGCTCCCCGGCCTGCAACTGAGGGTCCCTGAGCTTCACCTTTGTTACCTTCACCATAAATCCCCCCTGAGGCTCCAGCCCCTGCCACTCCTAAGCTCCTTAGGGCCCACTTTGAAGACTACCCCACCAACACCCCTCCCCCCCACCCCGCCCCGGCCCTCACACCAGGGGGGTCAACTGGGAAAGTGAACTCTTAAAAGGAGAATGGTGGTTAATCTGCAAGAGATTTCCTGATGGGTGGACGGAGCAAAGGGTGCTTTCTGGAGAAGTGGCTGGGACTGCCAGGTGGGGCAGGTGGATGGGCAGCATCTCTGCCAAGATCAGGAGCTCCTGGAGGGAAGCCCATGGGATGGGGAGGGACTGCCTTGGGCCAGTGCTTCATCATTCATTGCCTAGAAGCCAGAACTTCAGAGCTGGGAGGAGTTAGGACATCATGCAGACCAACCCCCCTCATTTCTAGACCTGCTTTGGTCCAACTTCCCAGATTCCCCCTTCCCACTATCCCTAAGCCACCCACAGGTCTGCCCCAGAGTAGCACCCCATTTGCCCTCTTTGTCCAGTAAATCCAAAGCTCACAGGGCACCCTGAGAGCCCACCTCACTTTGGCCATCGACCCCTGAGGGGCTCTTCATCACAGTGATAGGTGATGGGGAAACCACTGCAGCAGGGGTGGGCAGCAGGGGACTGGCTGGGAGGGACAGGATGCATGGGCTGAGGCTGGTGTGCTCTCAGGCTGCCCAGGGAGGGGCCAAGGGGGCATCTGTTTCCTCTTGGCCAGGATTCCCCTCCATGCCACCCCCAGAGGAGGTGAAAATGGCGCTGGCTTCCTGAAGCCGAGCTGCCTGGCCTGGGAATGGAGGACGGACAGGGTGTCCATCAAAACATCCCGCATTCCCTCTCCTCCCTCTGCCTGGAGCTTCGGGCAGCTCAGATAAGGTTTAGGGGTGGGGGCATATTTTTTGTTAGAGCAGAGGAGGTTAGGTCCTGGGGCTCAGTGAACACCAGCGATGTACCAGATGCGATAGCCAGGCTGGGTTCCAAGTGGAGTGTGGTGGGGTAGAGGCAAGGGACTTGTCTGGCTCAGAGGTGGGGCCTCACTTTAGTGGACCAGCGGTGGAGGATGGACCAGAGAGATCTGAGCACAGAGGGTAAGTGGGGATGGGGGAGAGATAAGAGTGGGCAGAGGAAGAAGTCTACCGTGAGGGAGGAAGAACTGAGCTTTGAGGTGTGGGGGAGATCACATCTGGAGTCCAGGTCTGGGGGCCCAGGAGGAGTGGAGAGCTGGGCAGAGGGGAGGCCCAGGAACTGAGGAGAGGGGCAGCTGCCCGGGCTGACGCCAGCTCTCCAGCCACAGATCCTGGTGGGGCAAATATTTACCCAGCAACAGTTGCTAAGCAGGGAGGAAGGAGGAGGGAAGCCAGTAGCTAGAGGGCCTTCCAGGCTCCTCCCGTCCCTCACAAAAGACAACTTAGAGAGGGTGAGCCATACAGTTCCCCTCAGCCCTCCACCCACTCCACGCAGGCTCAGCTATATCCCTCCATGCACACATATCTTGGAGTCACCTCTACCAATGTCCCCCCCGCCGCAGCCGCACGCTGGTAACAGGACAGAGGGCTGGGCTAGAGGCAACTTAATCCCTGGGCTGCCCGCCTTCCCCTTACCCTAGGACAGCTCTGGGGGCTCGAACCTTGCAAAATTCCCCTTCCCAATCTGTTGTTCAGTGGGGGCTGGAGAAGGAGGTGGTCCAAGCAGTCAGGATACAGTGAGGGAGGGGGTGCTGAAGGACGGAGTCAAGATGCCCAGGGGGTGGAGGCTGGAAGAGAGAATGAGGAGGCTGAAAGGAGGGGAAGGGGTGACTCCCTTAGAGGCTGTGAAAGGGCAGGCAAGGAGGGCTGATGGATCCAGAGAAGAGAGTTCTCAGGGGTCCTTCCTGATCTGGTGCCTGGGCAGAGGAGGGGGAGGGACAAAGGAGGGGAGGGTGTACTCAAATGGAGCCAGATGTGGCCCATGTGACGTGGGCTGTCGCTGGCATGGGCACAGTGGGGGCAGGACATACAACTGCCACCAGGAAGTATTAGTCAGAAGCTGGGAGGGGCAGGGGAGACGGACAGCTAGGCCAGGACCCCTGAAGCAGCAGATGGGAGCTTTGGGGGAGGGTAAAAGGGCTCCGGGCCTGCAAGAAGGGATTAAGATGACCTCCCCACCACCCTTAAGGTCCCCATCCATTTCCCTGGCTGAGCCTCGGTTTCCACATGCAAAATGGACATCCTGACACCCCTTCCCAGGGCAGAAGATGTGCCCAGGGCCCAGCACACAAGAGGGGTTCTCTTCTTTACCCACTTCCTCAGGGTGAGGTCTTTGCTCTGCAGAGCTTCTCCCTGGGGGTCAGTGGGTTCTCACCCTCGGCCACAGGCCCTCTGGAAATCGGGGTGCAGAAATGGGAGGGAATGACACAAAGAGGAAGCTGCCACAGCAGAGAGGAGGTTCTTGGAG